CAGTGCTGTGTGTGTGCAGAGTCAGTGCTGTGTGTGTGCAGAGTCAGTGCTGTGTGTGTGCAGTCAGTGCTGTGTGTGTGCAGAGTCAGTGCTGTGTGTGTGTGCGCAGTCAGTGCTGTGTGTGTGTGCGGAGTCAGTGCTGTGTGTGTGCAGAGTCAGTGCTGTGTGTGTGCAGTCAGTGCTGTGCGTGTGCAGTCAGTGCTGTGTGTGTGCAGAGTCAGTGCTGTGTGTGTGCAGAGTCAGTGCTGTGTGTGCAGAGTCAGTGTTGTGTGTGTGTGCAGAGTCAGTGCTGTGTGTGTGCAGAGTCAGTGCTGTGTGTGCAGAGTCAGTGTTGTGTGTGTGTGCAGAGTCAGTGCTGTGTGTGTGCAGTCAGTGCTGTGTGTGCAGAGTCAGTGCTGTGTGTGTGTGCAGTCAGTGCTGTGTGTGTGTGCAGAGTCAGTGCTGTGTGTGTATGCAGAGTCAGTGCTGTGTGTGCAGTCAGTGCTGTGTGTGTGTGCAGAGTCAGTGTTGTGTGTGTGCAGTCAGTGCTGTGTGTGTGCAGAGTCAGTGCTGTGTGTGTGTGCAGAGTCAGTGCTGTGTGTGTGTGCAGAGTCAGTGCTGTGTGTGTGCAGTCAGTGCTGTGTGTGCAGAGTCAGTGCTGTGTGTGTGTGCAGTCAGTGCTGTGTGTGTGTGCAGAGTCAGTGCTGTGTGTGTATGCAGAGTCAGTGCTGTGTGTGCAGTCAGTGCTGTGTGTGTGTGCGGAGTCAGTGCTGTGTGTGTGCAGAGTCAGTGTTGTGTGTGTGTGCAGAGTCAGTGCTGTGTGTGTGCAGAGTCAGTGCTGTGTGTGTGCAGAGTCAGTGCTGTGTGTGTGCAGTCAGTGCTGTGTGTGTGTGCGCAGAGTCAGTGCTGTGTGTGTGCAGAGTCAGTGCTGTGTCTGTGTGCGGAGTCAGTGCTGTGTGTGTGCAGAGTCAGTGTTGTGTGTGTGCAGTCAGTGCTGTGTGTGTGTGCGCAGAGTCAGTGCTGTGTGTGTGCAGAGTCAGTGTTGTGTGTGTGCAGAGTCAGTGCTGTGTGTGTGCAGTCAGTGCTGTGTGTGTGTGCGGAGTCAGTGCTGTGTGTGTGCAGAGTCAGTGTTGTGTGTGTGTGCAGAGTCAGTGCTGTGTGTGTGCAGAGTCAGTGCTGTGTGTGTGCAGAGTCAGTGCTGTGTGTGTGCAGTCAGTGCTGTGTGTGTGCAGAGTCAGTGCTGTGTGTGTGCAGAGTCAGTGCTGTGTGTGTGTGCAGAGTCAGTGCTGTGTGTGCAGAGTCAGTGCTGTGTGTGTGCAGTCAGTGCTGTGTGTGTGTGCAGAGTCAGTGTTGTGTGTGTGTGCAGAGTCAGTGTTGTGTGTGTGCAGTCAGTGCTGTGTGTGTGTGCGGAGTCAGTGCTGTGTGTGTGCGCGGAGTCAGTGTTGTGTGTGTGCAGTCAGTGCTGTGTGTGCAGAGTCAGTGTTGTGTGTGTGCAGAGTCAGTGCTGTTTGTGTGCAGAGTCAGTGCTGTGTGTGTGTGCAGAGTCAGTGCTGTGTGTGTGCAGAGTCAGTGCTGTGTGTGTGTGCAGAGTCAGTGCTGTGTGTGTGCAGAGTCAGTGCTGTGTGTGTGTGCAGAGTCAGTGCTCTGTGTGTGCAGAGTCAGTGCTGTGTGTGTGTGCAGTCAGTGCTGTGTGCAGAGTCAGTGCTGTGTGTGTGCAGTCAGTGCTGTGTGTGTGTGCAGAGTCAGTGCTGTGTGTGTATGCAGAGTCAGTGCTGTGTGTGCAGTCAGTGCTGTGTGTGCAGAGTCAGTGTTGTGTGTGTGCAGAGTCAGTGCTGTGTGTGTGTATGCAGAGTCAGTGCTGTGTGTGTGTGCAGAGTCAGTGCTGTGTGTGTGCAGAGTCAGTGCTGTGTGTGTGTGCAGTCAGTGCTGTGTGTGCAGAGTCAGTGCTGTGTGTGTGCAGTCAGTGCTGTGTGTGTGTGCGGAGTCAGTGTTGTGTGTGTGTGCAGAGTCAGTGCTGTGTGTGTGCAGAGTCAGTGCTGTGTGTGTGTGCAGTCAGTGCTGTGTGTGTGCAGAGTCAGTGCTGTGTGTGTGCAGAGTCAGTGCTGTGTGTGTGTGCAGAGTCAGTGCTGTGTGTGTGCAGAGTCAGTGCTGTGTGTGTGTGCAGTCAGTGCTGTGTGTGCAGAGTCAGTGCTGTGTGTGTGTGCAGAGTCAGTGCTGTGTGTGTGCAGAGTCAGTGCTGTGTGTGTGTGCAGTCAGTGCTGTGTGTGTGCAGAGTCAGTGCTGTGTGTGCAGTCAGTGCTGTGTGTGTGCAGAGTCAGTGCTGTGTGTGTGTATGCAGAGTCAGCGCTGTGTGTGTGCAGTCAGTGCTGTGTGTGTGTGCAGAGTCAGTGCTGTGTGTGCAGTCAGTGCTGTGTGTGTGTGTGCAGAGTCAGTGTTGTGTGTGTGCAGTCAGTGCTGTGTGTGTGCAGTCAGTGCTGTGTGTGTGCAGAGTCAGTGCTGTGTGTGTGTGCAGTCAGTGCTGTGTGTGTGTGCAGTCAGTGCTGTGTGTGTGTGCAGTCAGTGCTGTGTGTATGCACTTCAGTGCTGTGTGTGCAGAGTCAGTACTGTGTGTGTGTGCACTTCAGTGCTGTGTGTGCAGAGTCAGTGCTGTGTGTACAGAGTCAGTACTGTGTGTGTGTGTGCACTTCAGTCCTGTGTGTGCAGTCAGTGCTGTGTGTGTGTGCAGAGTCAGTGCTGTGTGTGTGTGCAGTCAGTGCTGTGTGTGTGCACTTCAGTGCTGTGTGTGCAGAGTCAGTACTGTGTGTGTGTGCAGTCAGTGCTATGTGTGTGCACTTCAGTGCTGTGTGTGCAGAGTCAGTACTGTGTGTGTGTGCAGTCAGTGCTGTGTGTGTGTGCAGAGTCAGTGCTCTGTGTGTGTGCAGTCAGTGCTGTGTGTGTGTGTGCAGAGTCAGTTTTGTGTGTTTGCAGAGTCAGTGCTGTGTGTGCAGTCAGTGCTGTGTGTGCAGAGTCAGTGCTGTGTGTGTGCAGAGTCAGTGTTGTGTGTGTGTGCAGAGTCAGTGTTGTGTGTGTGTGCAGAGTCAGTGCTGTGTGTGTGCAGAGTCAGTGCTGTGTGTGCAGTCAGTGCTGTGTGTGCAGTCAGTGCTGTGTGTGCAGTCAGTGTTGTGTGTGTGCAGATAGGCTGTACAATCTGCTGTGTGGATAGGCTGTGGCAGCCCAACAGATTCATGATAGACTAGTAGTAGATGTTATTAAAAAGTAATAGATTCTTCAGATACTCTTAATTCCTTTTCCTCATCATTTACTTAGTGTTTACTTTAAATATTAGCCTCATATCATGATTGAAGGAAGGAGTTTAAGCACATTGTTAGATTTTCTGAGACGAGTATTCTCTACTGACATTTCTGTCATGGTGGGCACTTGTTCCTGCTGTGGCTGTGAAGCAAATTCATGACCATGCAAACAGGTTGAAAACCACCACCACAATATTGTCATTATCCTCCAATTAAAATAAATTAATTTTTTTAAATAATTTTTTTTTCTTTTAAAGTAACTTTTAAAGGCTCAGATTTTAAAATGACACTGGGTAAATCTTTTAAATGACAGTGGACTTGAGTTCTCTGCTCTTTGGGAACTCAGTGTCCTTGGGTGTTTTCTGTCATGTTATAGTTTCAGGATTCTACAAAGGGAGGTATTCATTTGGGTTAAGCATAGTTTTGTGAAACTTGCATTTGTTAAGAAACTGAATGTAAAGCAAGCCATAGTTCATACAGGGAGACAGATGTATGCAGAGGGAATGGGAGGGATGGCTAGGGAAATTTATCCACACTATCACAGTAAGAAATAGAATGTCTCAACAGACTTAAACATGAAGAAAAGGAAAAGGACTGGTCTGTGTGCAGTTATACAGACTTATTATAGGAGTAAAAGAAAGTTGAGGAAAAAAAATTTAATATGGGTGGAGCAAAGGCTGTATAACCAGCTCTGTTTTCTGGTGGAGAGGGAGCACCCAGTTAGTCTGTCTTAGAGACTGTGGTAGAACCTGGCAGACAACAGTTCCAAGTCATGAACTTAGAAAATCATTAAAATATTTGGATTAAGAGTAGACAGAAAGCAGTGCCTGTAGTGTCAGCAAAAAGGCAAGAAGGAGCTTAATGTGTGAGAGATGCCAAAAAGTTTATAGTGAGGAAGAGATAAAAAATGAGGATTAATTGGACACAACCTGTTACTAATACTACTTGTTATTTTTACTATTGCTAATAACACTTGTTATTTACACCCCGTCTTGTTCCAGACAAGCTATAAAAGGGCTTACAGAGGAATACAACAAAATATAAAATCCATAGAAAGATAAAATGGGAAAGGGCTGGGAGTATAGTTCACAAATGCATCACGAGTTCTTGAAGGGAAGCATGGCTCCGTGCTTTCCAGCAGTTAGCTCATTTTCATAAATTTCATAATACTGCCTGCAACTGCTTATTATAAATGTCAGTGAGTTCTTCGGACTTTTAACTACCAAATTCATAGTAGGCTGATGATATAACTTAGAAACAATTCAATAAAATGGTTTTGTAGGAGGCCAAAATGGTAAATCTAGGTATTCATGTGGGTAAAATTGATAGTAATTGATAGTAATTGATAGTCAATATCTTGATATTTCTGTGAACATAATAGGATTTTGATAAGTTTTTGTACAATTTTAATCTTCCCTAATTCTGTTTTTCTGATTATGTCATGTTTACTTCCTTAACTGTGAAATCTACAGTGATTTAAAAAAAACAGCTCCTCCAGGTGAAGTGTGGGATATCTCCATTTGATTACCACTGATCCTCTTTTTGGGGAAGTTAAGAATCCTTTTTTAAAAAAATCCTTTTCAGGAATAGGATAACTGTGTAGCCGAATTGCTTCTAAGACCAGTTCTCTTTGTCATAGGAAGAGTATTAAAGTAAGAGTATCTCTTACTTTAATCTTTTAATAACAAAATGATGACATATATTAATGTGCCCCTTTTTTTTTTAAATCAGCATATCTTTCTGAAGCCATGAAGCTAACACAGTCTGAGCAGGTAAGACACTTTTAATATTTCCAACAAGGGTTAGAAAGGTTTTCTTGTGGAGACTTGAATCGTGTATAAAATAAAGGTCTTGAAGGGAAATGAGTTCTTGAAGGGAAAAATGGCTCCTCCCAAAACACTGCAGTCAAAAATACATAAAATGGGGAAGAGATTTGTTTTTCAAAAAGGAAATTAAAATGAAATGAATTGACATACACATACTACTATATATAAAATAGATAATCAGCAAAGACCTACTTCACAGCACAGGGACCTCTACCTAGCACTCTATAATGACCTGTATGGGAAAAGAATCTAGAAGAGTAGATATATGTGTATCTGTAACTGATTCACTTTACACCTGAGACTAATACAACTTTGTAAATCAACTATACTCCAATATAAAATAAAGATTAAAACTGAACTGCTGCTGATGGCATGCAAAAACACCTTGTCCTTTTTTTCCTAGGGTTTTCTCATAGACCTTAGGTTGCCATGTGTGTCCTTTAGAGACCCCTCTTAATGCCTTTTCTGATATTTAGCTCACAGTAAGCAAACCAGCCTGGCCAAGGGGAAACCAGTTGGCCTTTCCTTTGCTTGTCAAAGATAATTTAAATCCAAACCTGTCTTTTCCTGAACTCCTAAGCGGCTTTGGCACTTTTATTTGATCAGTGGCTTTACATTGTCTTCTGTGTTTGGGGAGGGCCTGCGTAGGGTTTTAAAATGCCTTTATACAAAGCTAAATCTTCAACCAAAGGTGATTTTCTGATAATAAAAGTGGCAGATATATAGGAGTTATTTGGTAAATCTTTAATTGACTTGAGAAGATCTGAGGGGATCTCAGTGACAGGGGAATAAATACCAATTCTGTAGAAGTTGTGTTCCATTCTGTGTACTTCCTTTTGACTGTCCAGAACTGCTTGTGTTAATCATGTAATATAGGCATGCATTGAACCCTTGTTGATAGAAAGACTTTAGCTAGTTGTAGAATAGAAGTCCAAACAGGAAATTTTCTGATTTTAAGCTGAGTTCAAATAGCATTGCAGAGGGCTAAGGCACATTCAAAAAAGGTACGATTCAGTGTGTTGATTTGGAATTGGAATAGGACTTACTCTGATTTCTTGAACAGTGTTTTGTTTATGAATAAAGATGGTAATTTACCTAGAAAGACTATTTATTATTTTGGAAAATGTTTGGCGTTCTATGGAATTGCAAACATAGTATAAATTTAAAAGATTCAAGTGATACTGGCTTATTCAGAAAGGAAGATACTAGAATAGCATTTACTGGATATTACTAAAGAGACTTTAAAAAAAAGTTAAATAGTACCTTTCTTTCTGTGTAATAGGCTCACTTATCACTGGAACTGCAAAGGGACAGCCACATGAAACAGCTGCTCCTCATCCAGGAGAGATGGAAGAGGGCAAAGCGGGAGGAGAGGCTGAAAGCCCAGCAGAGCGCAGACAAGGATGCGGCTGCCCAGCTTCCGGCATCTCACAGACCCTCTGCTGAGGATCCGGACAGCCAGAGCCCCCTGCTCTCTCAGAAGTACAGCCCTTCCACAGAGAAACACTTGCCTGAAATTCAGGGGGTCTTTGACAGGGATCCAGACACACTACTATTTTTACTTCAGCAGAAGCGGGAGCCAACAGAGCCATGCATTGGAAGCAAAGCCCCAAAAGATGATAAAACAATTATAGAGGAGCAGGCCACCAAAATTGCAGATTTGAAGAGGCATGTGGAATTCCTTGTGGCTGAGAATGAAAGATTACGGAGAGAGAATAAACAGCTAAAGGCTGAAAAGGCCAGACTTCTAAAAGGCCCAATAGAAAAGGAGCTTGATGTAGATGCCGATTTTGTAGAAAAGTCAGAGTTATGGAGCTTGCCACCACATTCAGAAACTGCAACAGCCTCTTCAACCTGGCAGAAGTTTGCCTCAAACACTGGGAAAGCCAAGGATATTCCAATACCCAATCTTCCTCCCTTGGATTTCCCATCTCCAGAACTTCCCCTCATGGAGTTCTCTGAGGATATTCTGAAAGGATTTATGAATAATTAAAATGGAAGGCCATAGAAGAGGTAAAGAGAGGAAATAATATGGTAATACAGCAAAAATAAAAAAGGGAAAACCACGTGCAAGGGTAGTTCCGGAGATGCTGCACCTGGCAAACTGCAGAGAGGAGGCATTGACAGGACTTGGCAACAGTCACTGTGAAACGTGTCGCGTGTCTGATTTACCGACTCAAGTTAATGATTCCAGACTTGGCAGATACTAAACTGTTGGAGGTTCACTTTCTCCTGATACAAACCAAATGGCTACCTGGAATTAATTTTTTTCAAGCAACAATTATTTTTCTTATCTTCAGGGTTAAAATGTATAAAAGTATGTTATGTGTAATTAATCTATAATGCCATAAATGATAATGCAAAACCTAAATAATATGGTTGCCTGAGGGGCTGCCTTGTATTTGAAACATGCTTTCTATCATGCATTGACTGTATGCATCTTGTTATGCACATTTCCTTTGTCTAATAAGGTGTGTAAGGCACACCTTTCTAGAAGAAACTGTGCCACACTTTGCACTACTCGTAACATAATGATAACCTCAAGACTATCAGGAGAAATATTTAAATTTCCATTTATGAAGAAAGGAACCAAATTATTAGTTATGCTTTTTTTAAAAATTACCAGTTTACATAATTAATCAGGGTGCATTTTAAGTTCTAACTTTTTTTGTTTATTGTGTAATGCATCATTTGAAAATATCAAGGAAATATCCTTTTGTTTTTAATGATGCACGAGTGGAAGTAATGCTAGTCGGCAGTATTTGATTGTAATAAATCAATAAAGTAATTGTATTTTATACCTTTGTTAAAAGCAAGTTTTGTTCAGCTTCTGTGTTGGAAATTTTGAACATGAATTTGAAGACATTCTGTCAAACAATTACTTGGATACATTAGAGGTTTTCTTCATGTTTTGTAGTCAGCTACCTCTACAGCTACGGTGGAAGAGAACAAGGAAGTCTCTGAGGCCTCTGTGCACCCAGCCTTCGCGGGCGGGCACACAGGGACAGTGTTCAGGCTGGAGGCAGCCGTGCCCCAGTTCAGAGCAGGGGTAGCAAAGCACTGCTTGGATCCTCCTCTCTTCAGAGTCCAGTGATGTTCCAGGAGTGGGAAGAAGAGGAAGGTGTAAGTGAAACATGAGGGTATAAGCCACTGGGTGTGTTTAAAGCATACACTTGGTTTATCTTGGGTGAGAGGCAAAAATATGGATGAAAAGCCTCTCCTGAGGGGATGGGGACCACTGGGCTGAGGGGATAGGGTTGGGCTCACATGTCTAGTGATGAAACCAGCAGAAGGACGATGAGATGAAGGGACCATGCAGAAGTTCCTTTTTTCCCGTGTCTCATCTTGGTGCAGATGAAACCAAAAATAAACTTAGCTTCTTAAAATAGGATAAGAGTTCTATTCCCTGTTGATTGTCCATCTCAGTGTTGTAGTATCCTAGACTCAGAGTACTTTGCTTGCCTAACCTTCCTCATAAAAGTTGAGATTTAAAAGATTGTGCCAATAATGACACTGTTATTAGCCTGTCTATTTCACTTTTAAAATGAGATGTTCTGACGTGAACACTTCGTAAGACACCCTCCCTTTCTTCCCCTACCATCTCCCTCCCCTCCCCCTGCCCCATTACTTTCAGCAGTTTGACATATTCCACAGGACCCTGTTGTGTGCATTTCCACTAACATACATGTTAAATGGACTAACTTTACTTTTCCATTGTCTTTGAAGCATTTATTCACACTTCTTAGTACTCGTGTTTCATCTTGTTTTTAGGTTTTGTATTTGGGTCTATCAGTAGAGTGTATGGGGCCAAAAGGTTTATTCGGTGTTTTCCATAAGCTGGTTCTGGTAGCACTTACTTGTCTTTGACATCACGCAGAACAGTTTTGTTAGATTGTATTGTGACAACTGTACATCAGTGTGCATTTAAAAAAAGTTATCAAAATTGGTGAATTTTTGGGTAGCAATTTTAATATTGAGAATGGAAGAAAATATTTTTGACATATTATCCTTTATTATTTCAAGAGAGGTAAAAATGCAACTGAAATGCAAAAAAAGATTTGTGCAGTCTATGGAGGTGTTCTGACTGATGGAATGTGTCAAGACGTTTGTGAAGTTAGCAGTTCTCATCGAACGATGTTCCACAGTCGGGTAGACCAGTTGAAGTTGATAGCGATCAAACTGACACATTGAGAATAATCAGCATTATACCATATAGGAGAGAGCCAACATATTTCAAAATATCCAACTCAACCATGAAAATCAGTTGCACCAGTTTGATTATGTTATTCCCTTTAATGTTTCAGTTCTACGTAAGTTAAGCAAAAAAAACCTTGACTGTACTTCTGAACATGATTCTCTACTTAAATGTAATGAAAACATTCATTTTTAGAACAGAAATGGGCAATGTGACAGGTGATGAAAAGTGGATGCTGTACCATGAGGTAGAACAGAAGAGATCATGGGGCAAGCGAAATGAACCACCACCAACCACACTTAATTCAGGCCAGTCTTCATCTAAAGAAGGTGGTGATGTAGATATGGTGGGATTGGAAGGGAGTCCTCTATTATGAGCTCTGGAAAACCAAACAATTCCAACAAGCATACTGCTCCCAGTGAGACCAAGGGAAAGTAGCACTCAACAAATAGTGTCTGGAATTAGTCAACAGACAGTGCATCATCTGCCATCAGGATAGTGCAAGATCACATTTCTTTGATGATCAGGCAGAAATTGATTGGGAAGTTCTGATTTATCCACTGTACTCGCCAGACATTGCACCTTCGGATTTCCATGTATTTGTCTTTACAGAATTCTCTTAATGGAAAGAAATGTCAATTCCTTGGAAGACTGTTAAGGTACCTGGAATTTACTTTGCTTAAAAGGATAAAGTTTTGGGAAGATGGGATTATGAAGTTGCCTGAAAATTGGCAGAACATAGTGGAACAAAATGGTGATTAACATTGTTCAATAAAGTTCTTGGTGAAAACAAAAAATGTGTCTTTTATTTTTACTAAAAAATCAAAGGAATTTTTTGGCCAACCCAGTATGTGCCTTTTGACCAGATGACTTGGTACGTTTGCAGCAACCTAACAGTGTCTCCATGGAGTGAGAGAAAGTTGCTTAGTGGTGTCTGACTCTTTGCTACCCCATGGACTATACAGTCCATGGAATTCTCCAGGCCAGAATACTGGAGTGGGTAGCCTTTCCCTTCACCAGGGTATCTTCCTGACTCAGGAATCAAACCAGGGTCTCCTGCATTGCAGGCAGGTTCTTTACCAACTGAGCTATCAGAGTGGATGCTTAAAACACTGTTCCACAGGCACGTGGCCAATCTCCTAGCCGGGGTTCGTAGGTGCTCTCTTCTGTGTAGCTTAAGGCCCTGAAAGGGATTTAAGGAAAGCTTTCTTCCACTAAATGAAACTGAATTATGCACATACTGGAAGTGGAGTAGACTCTTGTCCTTCCTTACTTGGTGGTGGCCTCTTGCTTTTGAACCCAGACAACTATCTGGGCATTAGAAGGCAGTCCTATGTTCTTACTCTCAGCTTTTCACAGAATGTCAACAAAAACATTTCTTTCAGAAAGTTAGTATGTAGTAACAGTCTTAGTATAATGTCATGGTAACCACAGGTAAGTCCATACTGAATTTAGAAACCATGCTAATGAGGAAATAAGATACTTTCAAAATCATTCTTGAAGCCATTGTCTATCCCTAGTGTTTTAACACAAGGTTATTGAAATAATGAAAATATTTTATCTCTAGATAATTCAAAACATTAAAACACTATCTTTCTGCTTTTAACACTGTATAGGTACTTTTTAAAGAATTGTAGTTTTTTTTTTCATTTATTTTCATTAGTTGGACACTAATTACAATATTGTAGTGGTTTTTGCCATACATTGTCATGAATCAGCCATAGATTTACATGTCTTCCCCATCCTGAACCCCGCTCCCACTACCCTCCCCATTTTACAGTATTAGTTTCAGGTGTACATATAGTGATTTGTTATTTTTATAAATTTTAGTCCATTTCAAATATCCGCTGTATTCCCTGTTCGGTATATCCTTGCAGCTTATTTATTTTATTCATAGTATTTTGTACCTCTTAACCCTTTATCCCAGTCTTGGCTTCCCCACTTATGTGTCCCCAGTGGTAACCCAGTAAGTAATTAGTTTTATCTGTGTCTGTTTTTGTTATATTTAATCATCTTTTAAGGTGATAACATACAGTGTAGATTTGTCTTTCTGATGTATTTCACTAAGCATACCTTACTGGTCCATCCGTGTTAATGCAAATGGCAGAATTTTTATTCTTTCTTATGGCCAAGTAATATTACATTTTACAGCCACACTGACAGGTGTGAGGTCCTATCTCATTGTGGTTTTGATTTGCATTTCTCTGACTAGCAGTGTTGAGCATCTTTTCATGTGTCTGTTGGCCATCTGTCTTCTTTGGAAAATGTCTTTAAACTTACTGTCCACATTTAATTAATGAGCTGTTTGTGCAGCTCAGACACTGACCTCCATCAGTCACACGCGAGCATTCTCTCCTATTCAGTAGCTTGTCTTTTTGTGTCTGTCGGGTGAGAAGTTTTAAATTTGATCTCCCTTAAGAGCTTGTCTTTTCTCCATTGTGTATTCTCCTTTATTGTAGATTAGTTGGCCGTATATGTATGAGGTGGTTTCTGGGCTATTTTGATCTTTGTTTTTGTGCAGTATTCTACTATTTCAATTACTGTAGTTTTGTAGTGTAGTTCAGAAGTCAGGGAGCATGATACCTTTGGCTTCGTTCTTTATTCTTGATTGCTTTGTCTGGAACCTTTTTTTTTTTTTTAAATGTGATGTTAAAATTTTTAGGATCTTTAAGACCTATTTTCTAAAAGAAATTGAGGCCCTGAAGGCAGGAGTTTTGTAAACTCGTCTACCAGCTTGGCAGCAGAGCAGAGCCGAGAGGCCTGGACCAGCAGCCCTGTGCCACTTTCCCGGGGCCACG